ACTGTGGGCAGGTGCTAAAGTCCTGCTGGAAAAGGAAATCAGCATCTCCATAAAGCTTGTCAGCAGATGGAAGCATAAAGTGCTCTAAAATCTCCTGGTAGACGGCTGCATTGACTTTGGACTTGATAAAACACAATGGACCAACACCAGCAGACGTCACGGCATCCCAAATCATCACTGACTTCGGAAACTTCACATTTCTTCCTTCCAGTCAACTTTGCATTTAATATGCTTTGATACAGCACTCTGTGAACAGCAACTCCTTTCAGTAATGACCTTCTGTGACCTACCCTCTTTGTGGAGGGTGTCAATGATTGTCTTCTGGACCATTGCGAAGTAAGCAGTCTTCCCCATTATTTTTCTTTCAAAGAACAAGAGATACCCGGAATTTATACTGTAGGGATGGTCATTTAATGAAACTCAAATGTAAATATTCTAATATTTTGAGATACTGGATTTTTGACTTTCATGAGCTGTAAGCGCTAATCATCAAAATAAAAAAACAACAACTATGTAATGAATCTAGAATATATGAAAGTTTCAAAAGTTACAAAAAAAAAAACATTTTTCACGATATTCTAATTTGAGATGCACCTGTATGTGTGTGTGTGTGTGTGTGGTGCCCAACATTATTAGAACACTAATATTTTCACCACCTAAAAATGGTTTTCAGTCAGTTATTTCTATATTTTGCTGTAGTGTGTCAGTAGGAAATATCAGTGTACATTTCCAAACATTCATTTTGCAATTAATTGTAATACAGCCAGAGCTCCACACAGAGACCTGATCTCATCATCATCCAGTCTGTCTGGAATTACATGAAGAAACAGAACAAACTGAGACAGACAAAATCCAGAAGAACTGTGGCAACGTCTCCAAGATGCTTCAAGAAACCTATCTGCAAAGCTACCTGAAAAAACTATGCACAAGTGCACCTAGGGCAAAAGCTGCTTGCTGTCACAAAGGATGGTCACACCAAATGTTGATTTAATTTAGTTAATAGAAGATAATTGATAAAGAAAATATATGACATTATTTTTGACAGCATCCTCATTTTACAGCATTTTTACACAAATGCCTACAACTTTTAACAGTACTGTAGCTTTGCCAGGTAGGTTTCTTGAAGCATCTTGGAGACGTTGCCACAGTTCTTCTGGATTTAGTCTGTCTCCGTTTTTTCTGTTTCTTCATGTCATTCCAGACAGATTGGATGATGATGAGATCAGATCTCTGTGTGGAGAACTGGCTGTTGTCAGACTCCTTGTGCAAACAAAAATCTTACTGGATTATTATAATTAATGGCAAAATGAATGTTTGGACATGTAAACTGATATTTCCTACTGACAAACCACAGCCAAAGATAGAAATAACTGACTTTAAAACCATTTTTTAGATGGTGAAAATACTAGTGTTCTAATAATTTTGGCTAATAATGTTAAACACTAACATTGTAATTCATGTAATGGATTTAAAATGGATTTTCATATTTTCTTGATCTTGTACAGAATCAGGATCTATAAAAATACATTATGTACATAAATGCAATTAAAAAAAGAAGAAAAAAATGAAACAATACAGGCATAGTAAAAGGTATAGTTTCGAATATGGTTAAAAGGGACCTTCATATTACAAAAATAAAGATCTGTTAATTTAAAAAATAATGAACCCCTGGGATATAAAATGATCTTGAACAAATGAAAATCCGGTTACACTTTATTTCGATAGTCCACTTTAGACATTCTACTAACTATAAGTAACTTTGTAACTAGATGTCAACTAATTCTCATTAATTTGCAACTACATGTCTACTAACTCTCAGAGTAGACTGTTAGGGTAGGTTTAGGGTTAATAGAATAAGTTGACAAAGAAAGTGTTAGAAGATAATAAGCAGAGGTTACACTTTATTTTGATAGTCCACTTTAGACATTCTATTAACTATACGTAACTTTGTAACTACATGTCAACTAATTCTCATTAATTTGCAACTACATGTCTACTAACTCTCAGAGTAGACTGTTAGGGTAGGTTTAGGGTTAATAGAATAAGTTGACAAAGAAAGTGTTAGAAGATATTAAGCAGACAGTCTACTAATACTCTACTAACTGCTAGTTGACATGTAGTTGCAAAGTTACTTACTGTTAAATAGAATGTCTAAAGTGGACTATCGAAATAAAGTGTTACCGAAAATCCTCCAACCTATCTAAAAATCGAACTTTAAGAACTGTATTGCAAGCACTGGTATTTCCTGTTCCACCAACCGTGTGACCTTGAGCCAGGTGCTTAACCCTAAACTGTACTTGCATGATTGTCCTGGCAATTAGTGTCCAATAATCTACACTAAAGTGTCCACTCTATGAATGTGTCAAAATTAGTCTTAGCACTGTGCATTTGTAAAGTCATACACACTCACCATGAAATTCCAGTCAGTGTTAATCTTGTCAGCCAGGCCCAGCAGAAACAGGGCAAGGTATAGAGACGAACAGATGAACATGGTTACTGACACAAACATCACCCATCCCTGCAACAATGGCACAGACACATTCGTCGACGCTACTAATATCCACACCAACCCTCCAAACACCTGATTGAAAAAAAAGTATATATATGAAGCCACTGCATTTTATATAGCATATTAGAAAATAAGTAATACTCAAAGATGAAAAATTACTAGATATTTTCAGTATTATTATGGAATAAAGTCATTGTTTAGTTACTTGGCCTAATGCAACATGCGACCCATTAAAAACACCACAGTTTGCTGACAGGTAAGACAGGCTTTCTGAATTCAAAGACCTCAAAATTTGTTATTATTGGTGTGTATGGGCATAATAAACCTAATATTACTATATTCTTTCAGAGTATCAAGGATGAATCGTATACTTATATCCTTATTATTATGATTTACACATGAAATAAAGGTGTATAGGCTACTGTACTGCCATAATCCAACAAAGGATACATCTTTGTGAATTATAGAGGTTTAACCCAGTAAGCCTTGAAAAAGTTATAAACAATAACACTTACAATTTCCAAACAAATCAGGGCCCCTGAATATGTCCTCAATATTTCCATTCCAAGTGGTAGAGAAATAGTCGGTGCTGGAAAGGAGGTAGTGGCCGGGTTCGGTGTTTCCGCCATCCTCATTCAGGTTGAACAAAGGACTAACGCATGGGAGAATCAGAATCAGGAACAGGTCTGACAGGTGTGTGGCCACTCCCATCTTGTTAGGTCATTTTCCACTCCCACAGTTGAGACAAACAATGGTGTCTGAGGGCATGCAGTCTCAGTTACTCTGAATTTGACAGGCTTTATTATTTAAAATGTGCCACTGTTTTTAGTTTAGTTTTTAGTGTTCCTTTGTCCACAATACGATTTATTTTATTTTCTTCTGTTTGGCCATGCACAAAAATAACTGAACATTTTCATAACTTTGGTTAATAATTAACACGTGCTTAGGTTCAACATACCTAAATAAACATTATTTTACACCCCAAATTGATAATAAATAAAATCTCAAAGAAGAAACAACTCTTTGTTTGATTTGATTTGATTCTAGGTACTGAATGAAGCAGGGACGTGCACAGACATTTTGAGGGGCAGGGGCTCAAGTGGAAAAAAGGGCACTTCTCATATTTATTTAAATTTTTTTCTAATCAAAACATTAAATATATTAGGGGTGTGCGATATTGACAAAAATGTATCTCAATATTTTCTGGGATTTTATCGATAACGA